ATACCACACGCTTAGTTGCGCCGGACGCGGTCGTTCCTCCTGGGGCATAAAGCCGAGCAATAAAAGTACTGCCTAAATCAGAGCAAGGACTGAAACATATAAGCGCAGCATACCCCAAATAAAAAGCTAACTACTGATACTTTTGCATGCATGACAGATCAACGATGTTCAGGCGTAGCAAAATGAGTATGGCTTATGTTATCAGGAAATCTATGATTAAGGGGTTTAAGCGGCAACTTGACGCTCTTGGGTGGCAACATGAAACTCTCCATCTTCATGAGTAACTCGCATCCTCACACTTCGACTTCCTTTTCTCTACTTTTCTACACGTCTTGATATTATTTCCTTATTGCAACTGCATCTTCGACTAAACCTTCAACTGTACCTTCGATTGCTCTTCCTATTCTTTGCTTACTTCACGTGACTGCTACAGCAGGTCTGATAGGTCTGATGGACCTTCCCACCTCGGAAGCTCAGGTACTCAAGCTCCTGCGTAACCTGAATCCTACTAAAGCTGCCGGGATAGCTGCCCTGCATCCCAAACATTTGTACCAGTTGGCTGAGTTGCTGTGTAAACCGATAAAATGTATCTTTGAGAGGTCTCTTCGTAGCTGCTCCATACCTGCTGATTGGAGAGATGCTATCGTGTGCCCTAGTGTCAGAATGGGTGATGAGCACCCACCTGAAAATTATAGACCGGTTAGCCTAACGAGTGTATTAGTGAAAGTATTAGAGAAGCTGGTAAGAGATGCTCTGGAGAAGCACTTAGATAAGTTCAGTTTGCTCAGCTGGTCCCAAATTGGGTTCCGCAGAGGCCACTCTTGTTTGATTAATATGTTGGTAGGGCGAGAGTGCAGGGCTGCTGCTGTGGATCAAAGACAGGCGGTAGACGTTTTGTTCATCGACTTTCTAAAGCCTTTGAGATCGTACCGCATTGCTGTCTTTTGTTTAAACTAGAATCCTACGGCGTCAGACCAAGTATTGAAGAGGATTTCGGCTTTCCTAGAAGGAAGGCAGATGAGCGTCCGAGTGGATTCCGGGCTGTCTTTCAGACAAGCCGTCCTGAGTGGTGTTCTTCAGAGGTCGGTTCTCGGACCTCTATTGTTTGCAAAGTACGTCAATGACCTCCCTGAGAAGCCTAAGGTACCATCTCTTATGTTTGCGGATGACATAAAATTTTGTAATACAGTGAACGATTCTGTTGGGCCCATGGCTTTGCAGACAGCTCTCGACAAGCTTTGGAATTATGCAGAATTGTGGCAACTGCCAGTCAGTCTTGACACGTGTTCGGTCCTGCGCATAGGATCAAGCACTTTCACAATTCCTTACGTACTTGGCGGCTATGTATTGCGTCAAGCGACTGAACAAACCTACTTGGGTATCTCGCTAACCTCTGCCTTCAAGGCAAGCGAGAACTGGACGCATGCTATCCGCAAGGGTTTCCGAATGCTGCGGATGATCCGCAGGTTGTTCGACGTCACATGGAACGAAATGTTTGTTACATTGTTCCCAGACTTTGTCAGGCAATACTTGGAGTACTGCGTGCAGGCCTGTCCTCCATGCTTGGTACGCGACAAGGTGGCACGTGAACGAGTGCTGACGGTTGGTACAATAATGGTACAAGAATTAAGGCATCTCTCGTATTACGATAGGCTGCTCAGATTGCAGGTGTTTTCGCTGCACTATAGGAGTCTTCGCGGAGACCTGATTCTTACGTGCAGTATATTGACCATCAACCTCGGGTCTGATCTAACTAGACTATTCCGTCCGGCGCAGGTACCATTTCTTCGTGGTCACCCTCTGATGCTGCATAAGCCCAGATCTGATCGTGTTGGAGCTGGCTTTCGTTTATCACGCAGGGTCATCCACTCATAGAACGCACTACCAAGCGTAGTAGTATTAGCACCCATTGTGGAGTTTGAACATCGACTGGACGCCCATGGGTTGCCGTTTCAGATCTTTCCGTTTGGTTCGTAACTTTTACATCCATTTCCTTGTCTTCTCTCATCTATTATTCTTATTGTCTTCTCCACACATTCGCTCCTTTACTGTAAGTATCGTTTTTTGGTTTTCATTGCTTCCCTTTTCTTAGGCTTTATTCTTATACACGTTGCCGGTGCAGCTGATACTTTTAGTTCAGGCCAAGTGGGCATTGGTTGGTTGAGCTTGATGTGATTCATGTGTATTGAGTTGGCTCTTCTCGCTTTCAAATCGCTCACGCTCCATCCTGGTTCGACGAGTCATTGAAGAAGGAACGCACGTGGGTAATTTCCTACCGTCTTTGTCCAAATTAAACTGGTAGAAATGGGTGGACTACGGGTGTTCCGTATACCAACCATCAATAGCTCTGTGCACTTCATCAATTCCTGGCTCAATGATCCGCCCAATATGGAACACTCAAGGGAATCTCCTACCGGAGCAGTCCCATCCGAATATGAACTTGAAGTTAGTTTTCTAGCCGACCTTGACGGTGCGTGGCTGCGGTCGGTACAAATGACCTGTTCCAATACTTAGCCTGGGTTTGGCAGCTAACGTATGTAGAAACGAAAGATCTACTTTCCATCCCGTACTGAAATGGCTGCTTTGGTTAGTGGTAGCTATACTTCTATGAACTACTTTTGCAATGCGTTGTACATGTGCTGCGGCTCATTGAACAGTTTGTTCCAAACTGCAAGAGCAGACCACCATCCAAGGGACCCACATGGATTGATAAATAAGTAAGATCCCAAATGAAGCAAACGATGAAAACAGTGGGGTCATTTCAAGAGCACAGGACTGACATCAAGCTACTTAGAGTACAAAACTGTCAGAAACCTAGGCACCCTGAGAAAACCAGAAAAAAGACTACAATATGAACATCGAGTGGCCATGGAATCCCAAAACTGTCCGAAGTAACTTTTTGCCTACTTGAAGCGAAATGCCAAAGGTGGTAGTGGAATCCCCGCTCTATCCTTTCCTAAGGAAGGTACCGTTCTCTACAGCGATGATGAACGGGCAAGCCTAATGGCTGCGCCATATTCCTTGGTCCACTCAGTGAAGACACCGCCGCTCAAGAACTGTTTGCCTGCACGCAATTCCTCTATGGATCAAGTCGGAATTAACCCCGGAGTATTCACTGAGCTATTCCTGGGACTGGACCCGAACTCCTCTCCAATCCCGGACAGATTGCACCCCAGCTTCCTCAAAACGACAGCTGAGTAGGTCGACGCCACTCTCTGCCAGGTGTTTCGAAAATTCCTTGAAGTCGGCTGCCTACCCACAGGCTGGAAAGCATGCACCGCCCTGCCCAAATACTAGGGGAACCCAACAAGACCCAGCCAAATATTGGCCAAGATGTCTGACATCAGTCGTATGCAAAACCATGGAACGAATCGCCAGGTGCGCCCTCCAGCTACACTGCGTGGATCTAAACCCCAGCTCACCTGCTCAACATGGCTTCCGGAGAACAAGCGCATGCATCACTACCTTACCCGTCGCCAGGGAAACATAGGCAGAAGCTATAGATACCCGGAAACAGGTAATATTCAGTAACATTCAGCAAAGCCTTTGATAAGGTGCCACGAGTACGACTGCTGCATACACTCCAGGGAATTGGCATTACAGGAAATCTTTCCTGGATTGCCGATTTCTTAAGAGGTAGGACAATGCGCTTACAAGTGAACAAAACCATCTCTGCTCCAATGCCTAGGACTAGCGGCATTCCCCAAGGACCAGTGCTTGGACCGGATCTCTTCAACATTAACAATCTGCTGACTACACTTCAAACCGACCGCTTGACCTACGCCGATGACCTCAAGCTATGATCAACAGTATCCAGCATTGAGGATGTGGACAGATTACAAGAGGCTCTAGACCAGCTACACGAATGGTCCATCAAGTGGAAACTGCCAGTAAACCGAGCTAAATGCGCTGTTCTCCCAATGGATAGCACTGAACACTACGGTGCATACCACATTTGGGGTTTCTCTTCATGAATACCACTCATAAGAGAGATCTCGGGGTTATTGTGACTTCTGACCATAGAACGACGCAGGACACGTTGAAGAACGTGTCACTGGAAGAAGACTGGTGGGTGCCTTAAGAAGATCATTCGCTCGAATGACTCCTGAGATTTTTCGACCTTTGTGTACCTCGTACGTCCGTCCAGTCCTAGAATATGGCCTACCAGCTAGCCATCCGCTTTCGAAGTTTGAAGGCGTTCTGCTGATAAAGATTCAGAGACGTGCATCGAAATCTGTTCTGGGGCTTCGACTCCAGCAGCTAAATCTTTTATCCCTCGAGCTCTGCCGTCGTCGGGGTGATCTCAGCTACACTAGGCGCATCCTCCGAGGGGAGCTTGGAAGTGAGTTACAACAATTCGTTCGGACCAACACTGACTGTTCCACACGAGGTCACACCTGGAAACAGTTTGAGCAAAGACGACACAGAATTCGCATGGACGTCACCTTATCCACTAGCGTGGTGAATGATTGAAACAGCCTGCCGGAAGAAATTACAGTCGCTCCATCCGAGGTAAGTTTCCAACGGCTGATAGACAAACATTCACTGAGAATGCTGGAATCCTATGTCTGTCACTGAAATTGCGACGTACCCTCGAGGAACGTCGTAATGCAACAACACGCACCAAAGGCAGTATGATACGGAATCGATGGGGCTGACAAGGGATTTCCCTCCTGTTCTCTACAAGTCAATGAGCTCAATGAACTCAATACGGGATCAATTATTCTACAGCTTATACACTACACATATATGCACTTATTACTTGTGCTTGGCTGCAAGGCAGATATTTTCATGCCCCCTCAATTAGCCTCATAACTGCTGCAGTACGTAACCTTAGCAATACTGGCTAGACAGCATGCAACTTGGCATGTGCAATAGGCCGTCAACATACATATGCTGACAAATGGTTTTTAATACAGTAAAAGCTATTATTTTATAATATAGGACCTTAAAAAACTACCCTTGACAAGTTCGGAACTACTTACTAATCGCAGGAACGCTTTCTCCATACCGATCAGTGACGCCGTCCCGATGTTGTTATGTCTGGATGCGGTGAGGGGTCATCTGGGTCTGCTATTGGTGGCGATTTCCATTTTGATAGGATGAATGCTCGTTGTCAGCGACCAACTGCCTGTAAAGGATGTCGTATATTTTATTAATTTCTTAGTGCTTACGGGTAGAAACAGGTCTGAATCTCCTGCTACTCGTTCAAAGAGTAGACCCTCCGATGCTTCTGTGCCCGCTCACTTTGATGAAAGGTGTGCATTATCGTTTGCTATGACTGTTTTAGCTCCAAATATGACTTAGAATCTCTACAGAAAGAAATTGAATTAAGGAGCGGTCTTCTTAATTTTGGATCAGAAGTTTGTTCTGCATTTGTTTAGTGATCCGTTTAGTCCATCTCTGCCAGCATGGATGACTTCATTAATGAGGGACTCTTGGGCTCTGGTACATGCAGCGTTGTATATAAAATGCGACACAGATCAAAGACGGATCTCGTGATGGCAGTCAAGTATATGCGTCGTTCCTCCACTTGTCAGGAAGAGAATAAGCGAATAATGATGGACCTGAATGTTATAACCAAAAGCTGCGACTGCGTATACATTGTCCAATGTTATGGAATATTTTTCACCACGGTATCTTTATTTGCTTAATTTCTAGTCCTTATAGGGAGATGTTTGGATTTGCATGGAGGTTATGCCAACCTGTTTGGATAAGTTATTGCGAGATCTCCATCGACCGTTTCCTGAGAAAGTGCTAGGGAAGATAACCGTTTCGGTAAGGTTTCCTTATCTCTTTAATTTCTTCCGAAGATAACAACAGCTTTGGACTATCTCAAGCGGAGGCACAATGTGATGCACAGAGGTAGCTTCCTTATTGCTTATTTTCTACATCTGCAGATGTCAAACCTTCGAATATGCTACTGAGCTACCAAGGCGTTGTTAAGTTGTGTGACTTTGGAATTAGTGGCAAGTTGAAAGATTCAATCGCTCGTTCAAGACAGTTAGGTTGCATCGGATACATGGCACCCGAGCGACTCGAAACCCCTACCTATGATGTTAGAGCAGATATTTGGTCTTTAGGAATTTCTCTCCTGGAATTAGCAACTGGATCATTTCCCTATAAGGGCACGGAATTAGAGTTCGCAATCATGAGCAAAATAATATCTGAGCCGGCACCATCGTTGCCCCATCACATTCCATTCACTTCGGCATTCCGGTATTTCGTTGATTGCTGGTAAGTTATTTTGGCTTTCTTCGTGAACTTTTCACTTGGATTCCTCTTTTAATGGTCGTGGTGGCAGTTCTTGTCACACTGTTCTGCCTTTTTAGAGAGTAGCTACGGAATCTTTCCAACTCATGCAATTTGCACCGTTCTACACACGTTAGCTGCAGGTAGAAAACACCACAACAATACAAAAGGAAGAACAAACGTGAGAAAAGAAAATGCGAGTGGACTTGAGACACCGTGTTTCACCGATATATGTTCCACCAGTGACACATCATAGCTTCGATTATTATATGTTGCGGCATCCAGAGTACGCCGGTGCGCAGTGCCGACGCTTCGCTGCCGAGCAACCACTACCAGTCGCTTGTGAATTAAGGATATTGCGAGGATTGTCCGATCCCTCCGCAGGCCCGAAACCATGCTTTCGTATTACAAGGCAGGCTTGTGACCCTTAAGGCTACGGGCAGACTTTTACCAAGCTTACTGCAATCGATTGAACTTCTAGTTTATTGAGCTGCACTGTGTAGTGTCTTCGGTCGGATTCAGACCTACTTTTAGAGTTGGCCAGTGCTTAGGCATCGATCGAACTCCATCTCCTGTTCCCCACATTTGCGTTACTTTTCCCTCCGTTACTGACTTACAGTAACCTCTAGGTTTTTGAGCTAAAGGCTATGCTATTTGTGCTGACTTACCGAATTGCATCTTCTCGGTACCTGCTGGGTGGTTCGAAGTTATGCTGTTCCAGCGAAATGTTCAGCAGCACTGGCTCCGGACGTCGTTAGTTTTAGTCTGGAAAGCGTTCTCTCTATAAAAAGCCACAAATCCTTACTAACACTGGCGTAACTGATGTGCGTCGCAACTAATTACTTCTTCACCTTACCTTACTTCACCTCGGTGAAGCATGGTGATCCAGCGAGTCTATGCCGACACCATGAATAGGATTTAGCTCTTGCTTGGTGACCCCAAACAAAGGTGTGAACTAAGCAGTCAGCCACCGACTCCCATTGGCGCGATTCCCTGAATTCACCCCGCTGCCTTGCGGGTAGGCTGTTAAGCTAAAGACGGGTTGGTGTACCCCAAGACAACTCCCTACTTCATTTATTCATTATACATGCCAGCTGCAGGTGGAAGAACACGGCTATGGTGCCGAAATACAATAGAAAAAGAAATAAGTGAAATAGGGGCACTCCGGCTGAGTCACCACTAACGGATGGACATCGTTCCGAAAAGCCAATAGCCGGCTATTGTACCGCAGTCATCTAATGCCTATTAACTGGATCGTGGTTAGAGGGGAAGGCTAGGCGGAGGGGGTGAACAAAGTAATTCACAACACACGCCATAGATCTGCTCCTAGCCATATCAGCAAGCTTGTTCCTTGTCCTTCAGTCCCCAACCAAGTGAGGGCTTTCATACCTCTTGACCATGTCATCGCTTGGGCAGCTCTCCTCTTCTTCCATCCGCACCCCTGGGGCGCAAATCACGTACGTCGCAGAACCCAGTGCGTTAGCATGCGCAACACGTGCTCCAGCCATCGGAGCCTGGTGCGTGAACAACTTCGGCTTGGGCACCCGGATAGCATCACATCGAGGAACAAAACCATGGACCGTTCATTTGCGAAACACTTAACTACTTCTCACACTCCAGTTCATTTCGGTTAAACCACTATGATCTGGGCCCCAAAGTATGGTGGCTCTAATTACAACGAATCACATCGCAAGAATAATAATGACAAGAAAATGAGGTTGAATTCTAATGGGACGTACTGAAAATGAAATCAAGGAGGAGCTGCTTTAAACTAATCAGAATTTAGTGAAAATTAGCAGCTAGATGCAAAAAACCGATTGTATGTGCGCCACTAACCGCGGGATTGCGCCAATCCCAGAAAGATGTCCGACCATTGTTGATCTGACTGTCGCAGAGAATAATAAATGGCACCCCATCTGCTGCATCGAGCAGAGTAGATACGGGTTTAGTTGCCGCTGCTCAAGCCTTCCCGTCTTCTTTTCCCTCCTCTTACGCCTTTTCACTTTTATCGTCTCGTTGCAACTTCACTTTTATTCCCCCTCCAGTTTTTGGCCTTCCACCTTGCTTTGATAGGTGTTTACCTTCTAGTTTCAACTCACATACATACGCGGCGCGTCACTCCTGCCCTGTCGACACATCATGTCCAACCAAGCGGTCCCCCCCCAGTTCATTGACTTCCATTTGGAGCCCTCGATCCTCCTTCAAATTGGCATGTCTCAATATACGCACATTGCTACAGATCGGCCAACAGGCAGCACTTGCCCGAACATTAGAGACACTTTCGATCGATATCTGCTGCTTATCGGAGACGCTCGCAAGACTCGGGCTTTGTACTCACTTTGCGATCCGCTTCAGGTGACACCAGCAGTACTTTCTCATTCCACCTATCCGGTGACGATGCAGTTTCGAGTACCGGCCAAGTCGGTGCTAGTATTTCCCTTAGTTTCCGGGCTGAAGCTGCTCTGGTTGATTGGATCCCAATCAGTAGCCGGATGTGTGCGGTCCGATTGGCTGGCTCGTTCAAAACTTTGAAGTCGCGCAGGACTAATAAGTGTCTATTTCTCATCGCTGCTTACGCGCCCACAAACTATAATGATGATTCGGTACAAGACGACTTCTATCGCCAAGTGAACGAACTCCACCACAGAAGAAGCACGGAGACTAGTGCTGGATGGGGATCTGAACGCTCATGTTGGAAAGTGATCCACTGATGCGCCACATCTGGGTGGCCAACATGGTGTAGGCTCCCGTACTTATAACGGTGGGCGGTTACTTCCTTTGTGTGAAAATGCAAACACTAACATCCAATACACCACCCGCCGGAGGGTGACTAACGCCCATCAAGCTCGAACTAGCTATGGACGCAAATCGATCACATCGCAATCAGTTACCACTGGAGAGGTTGCCTCCATAACTGTCGCTCGATTTGGAGCACATGTGTAGACACTGGCCATGCACTTGTATGTGCTGATCTGCGGATTCGTTTTGGTGGACGTCCACGATGACGCTGTAAGCACATTGACACCAGCCAACTGGTGAAACCAGCTGTTCTGAATGCCTATCAAATTACGCTGACATGCTGGTTGAGTAAGGGCTCACTGCTTACAATTGAAGGTCACTGGTGTCGTTCACCAGACTTTACTAACAGCAGGCAATCTTCATGTGGTAAGTCTAATCGCCAACATGGACATTGGGTCTCTTCACAGTCTCTGGAACTTATCGATGCTCGCCGGCACATTCCGGCTGGAAGCTAATACAATGAGACTCGCAGAAAACTCTGGGCAAAACTCCGTGCTGGCGTGAAGAGAGACTGCAAATCCTGGTAGTTTCTTCGTGCGTCAGAGATGGAAGTGGTCGCTGCCCTTGGTAACTATCGTGTTATTCCGTCTGTTGCGAGAAACGGGCAACAGGAAACCTGGTGTTAGTGAAACTATACGTGACCAGAGTGGACACCCTATCTGCAATTTGTCAAAACGCTTGGAGCGTTGAGCTGAACCCTTTGAAAGGCAATTTACTCGGTCGGAATTGTTAGATTTCTCGCCGGCCACTGATCGCTTTGCTCCGTGGGCTGTCTCTTTGGATCCACCCTCTCGCTCAGAAGTCGAACGTGAGATCGCACTGTTGAAGTTAAATAAAGCCGCGGGATCAGATGATCTTACTCTAGCCCTCTTCAAACTAGGGTGACCTGCTCCTGTGGATGAGTTATTAGTGAAACTGTGGGAGCAGGAGACTGTCCCAACCGACTGGAGCCGCTCCGTCATACTTCTGCTTTTCAAGGGAGGTTCGCGATTGGAATGCGGTAACCATAGCGGAATCAGTTTGCTCTCCATCGCCTCCAAACTACATGTCTCTGCCATTCTTCGCAGACTGACTGGCAGTAGTGAAAACCAGATTCATGAAGAGTAAGCCAGGTTTCGTCGAGGTCGTGGCTGCATCGACCACATCTTCATTTCGCGTCAGCTGTTTGGAGCACCGTCATATTGGCAGCCAACCGTTGTCGTGTTCATCGACATCAAAGGTGCCTTTGATTCGGTTGATCGTTGTGCCATTTGATACTGTCTGCTAAGGAAAGGTGTGCTCGAGAAATATGTTAATATTATCCGAGCATTATACGCGCGTAGCTCAGACAGAACGAAAGCTTACGGCAAGCTGTTGCTGCCCTTCATTTTCTCCATTGGTGTGAGACAAGAATGCCCGCTGTCACCTTTCCTCTTCAACTTCGCTATCGACAAAGGCATGGAAATCGCATTCACAGCATGACTTAGAAAGTGTGGAGTTGCTCCCAAGTGAACGACTTCTTGACTTGGAGTATACTAACGATATTACCCTCATCTGTGACCGCTCACAAACGTGCCAAGCTGCACCGGACAGATTAACACTGGCTGTCAGCCGCTTCGGACTTTGCTTTGCACCCCCGAAGTGCAAAGCTTTGCCCCAAGATTGGCCTGGACCGCCTCTTTCGCTGACCCTTCGTGGGGATCACTTAGAAGTCGTTCAAAAATTCATCTAGCTGGGAAGTTGTATCAGCTTCCTTGGGATCAAAGATGAGATCACAAACCGTATAGCAAAAGCTCGAGGCGCTTTAGCTAATCTTCGCCACCTATGACGCCGGCGCAACATCCCTCTTTCTGAAGGGCAGAGTGTACTTTGCTGCGGTACGTTCGACCCTACTGTACGGTTGTGAAATCTGGCCCCTTACGTCAGCGGACATAAAGTGGCTAGTTACGTTCGACCACCGATGCCTTCGCAGTTTGGCTCACATCTGGTGGGAACACCGTGTGAGCAACGAGCGTGTTCGACGCCTTGTTTACTGCGCAGAAAATGGATGTGGATCGCTCAGCACCGTTAGTAGCTCAGCTGGCATACATCTGTTGCATGACTTTTTTTCTTTTATGTATTGGGGCACGGTTTCTGGGGTGTTTTCCACTTCTAGCTAACGATTATTATTATTATTATTATTATTATTATTATTATTATTATTATTA